CGAACGAACGAACGAACGAACGAACGAGCAAGCAAACAAACAAACAAACAAACAAACAAACAAACAAACAAACAAACAAATAAAATAAATACACCTAAAAAGCAAGCCATACATCCAAATGTTCATGGTTTGAAACCATAAGTTTAGCATTTCCTGTTTGAGCATCAAGAGTTCACAAAGAGAATGACACATGCAGTCACCTTCCTGAACAAACATTAATATAAAAGTTATTTAAAAGGAAAAATAACCTCCTATGAATATAAATAGGTTATTTATATATTTCCTTTTTCACTAGATCAATCGAGAACCAGACTTTTTTTGTAATGAATTAAATTTAATATATGTATTTTTTATTAAAATAATATAATATAGCATGCTGGCACAGTGGGTAGCACAATTGCCTCACAGCAAGGTCACTGGTTCGAGCCTCGGTCGAGTAAGTTGGCAAACTCTGTGTGGAGTTTGCATGCTCTCCCCTTGCTCGCGTGGGTTTCCTCTAGGTGCTCCGGTTTCCCCCACAAGTCCAAAGACTTGGGGTGTAGGTGAACTGGGTAAGCTAAATTGTGTGAATGAGGGTGTATGAATGTTTCCCAGAGACAGGCTACAGCGGGAAGGGCGTCCACTACGTAAAACATATGCTGGATAAGTTGGCGGTTTATTTTGCTGTGGTGACCCCTGATTAATAAAAGGGACTAAGCCGAAAAGAAAATTGATGAATAATATAATATAATATAATATAATATAATATAATATAATATAATATAATATAATATAATATAATATAATATAATATAATATAATATAGGTGAAGCAGTGGCCCAGTAGGTAGTGCTGGTGCCTCACAGCAAGAAGGTCGCTGGTTTGAACCTCGGCTCAGTTGGCATTTCTGTGTGGAGTTTGCATGTTCTCCCTGCATTCGCGTGGGTTTCCTCCGGGTGCTCCGGTTTCCCCCACAGTTCAAAGACATGGGCTACAGGTGAATTGGGTAGGCTAAATTGTCCGTAGTGTATGAGTGTGTGTGTGAATGTTTCCCAGAGATGGGTTGCGGCTGGAAAGGCATCCGCTGCATAAAAACTTGCTGGATAAGTTGGCGGTTCACTCCGCTGTGGCGTCCCCGGATTAATAAGGGGCTAAGCCGACAAGAAAATGAATGAATGAATGGATGAATAATATAATATAATATAATATAATATAATATAATATAATATAATATAATATAATATAATATAATATTATATAATATAATATAATATAATATAATATAATATAATATAATCGCTGATTTAATTAGAGGATTTCTATTTAAATTAAGTCCCAGAATTATCAACTAAATGATTAATTTGTAAGAGTTTATCATTAGTCATCAGAGCCATTCAATACCATCAGTTTTGACCCATTCAGGGTGACTGGAGACCATCTGCAGATCAGTTTATCTTGGCTTATGTGCAAGGATCATGTTTTTTGGGACCTAAATAGGGTATTTACTAATTAGCAATCTGATAATGTTTAGAAGATTTTTTTCCGATGTCAGTACCTCAATTCAACCTCAACTGCACATACAAACAATCCTAATATAACTTTTTTTGTTTTCAGTGCTCAGATGTTTTTTTTTCTTCTTTTTTTTTCATTATTGAAAAGCCTTTGTGTAGTTTAATTGCCTGCAGAATGGCCTCTATCATACACACTGCACTCTCTCTACATTCAATACCAGCAGGGATACTTAAATATAGAATTACAAAAAGTGTTTTCTTTTCATGTTTCCCTCTAACTAGCAGCAGGATTCTGTATATGCAAGGAAATACTTCAAAAAAGTTGCTGTTCCCATATCATGGTTCGATTTCTCTTTTCACTGAAATCAGCATATACACAGCCGAGAGAACCCGTCGGCATCTTTTCACAGAAATAACTGCTTCTGGGTATCAATTTGAATTTTAAATCAATGGGAAATTGTATTTGTCATTAGCAATCAAATATTTGAAGTACTGGTATACCTTCTGTCATATACAAAGAACTTCAGCCTCATGCTGTGAACAGCTGTATAAAGGTAAAGCTCAGTTTTGCTCATACAGAAATGTTATATATGGCTATATATGAAAAATGTGATAAAATATATATATATTTTTTTACACATATACAGTTGAAATCTAAATTATTAGCCCTCCTGTGATTTATTTTAATCTTTTGTTCTTATTCAAATATTTCCCAAATTATCCTTAACAGAGCAAGGGATTATTCACAGTATACCCTATATTTTTTCTTAAGTATATTTGTTTATTTTGGCTAGAATAAAGACAGTTTTTTAAGAAAACAACTATTAAAAAAAACATTTTATGTTAATGTTATTAGCCCCTTTAAGCGATTTGTTTTTTCTTTGATTGTTGAAACACCATTGTTATACTTCAGTTGTATATTTCAATGGTTAAAATAATATATGTAAACTGCCAATTTTGCAATATTTTTAAATATATGTGGCTTATGTGATATATATTTTCATATGGGAAATCTAAACATGAACTTGTGTCAAATAATGGCATCATTGAAAACATTCCCATATATCATATTTCTATGTAGATGTGTGCCCAAGACATTAATACATGGAAATATACAGTAAGCTTAAAGACTTTATTTTGTAAGTGCTAGAAATAAAAGTGACTTGCCTGAGTGAATTGTAAAATCTTGTGGTCCGATAAAAATGCTTTTCAAGATGCTCATTAAAGGCTTTATTTCAACGACCCAGGCGCAAAGTCCAAAGCGCAGGGCGAAAAGCATTTAGGGCGTGCCTGAATCCACATTTACTATTTTAACGACAGAAAAATTCGCTTTGCGTTGCGGCACATGGTCTAACAGGGTTGAGCTTATTCCCTTAATGAGTTATAGGTGTATTTTGAGAATAAACCAATCAGTCTCATCCCCGATTCCCTTTAAGAGTCAGCTGTGTCACACCATAGTGCATTTGCTATTTACCTGGTGGACTTTCTGAGTAAAAAAAACTGAGCATTTCACCAGCGAGAAAACAGTTGAACAGAGCATCTGCAGTGCCGAGAATGAGAGATGAGCCCCCTCATTCTTTACTTTCACTTTCACTCTTGTGGATAAGGAAATGTGTTGTACGCACAGACATCCATTAGCCTATACATAATTAATTTTGTTTGTTAGATATGTTTCAAATTTCTTCTCCGAATTCAGTTCTAATTTCCTGCAAACGAATAAACAAACAACAATAACAAAGTGTGCTCAAACAACTTAATATCCAAATACACATGCTTGGCCCCAAATGATCTAAAACCTGACAGGTGGACAAATCTAAGTTTTGTTTTTAATAAAACAAATATAAATATGGATATAATAAATAATACTACTAATAATAATAACATTGTACAAAACTTGTCATGTATATACATATATATCTATATATATATATATATATCATATATATCTATATATATATATATATATGTATATATATATCTATATTTAGATATTTACTATTTTTATTTTTTTTTATATATATATATATATATATATATAATATAGAATAATATATACATATATTATTATATATATATATATATTTCGGTTTATATATATATTTATATATATATCATTTTTTATTTTGTTGTGTTTATCGGGTGGGCTTTCTCCGGGTTTCCACAAGTCCAGGCATGCACTATCGGTTAATTGGCTAATAATTTTGACCGTGAAATGTTGTTGTTGTTGTTGTTTTTTTTGTTTTTTTACTGCTTTTATTTTAGCGGAAATAAAACAAATAAGACTTTCTCCAGAAGAAAAAAATTATTTCAGACATACTGTACTGTGAACATTTTATTGCTGTTAAACATCATTTGGGAGTTTTTTAAAAAGCACAAAAAAATTCAAAGGGGTGGGGGGCTAATGATTCTGACTTATCTATAGACTAATAATATATATTTTCTGCTGTTAAAATGGTGCCCAGGTTGTTTTTTTTTTTTGTTTTTTTTTTTGACATGCGAGTCAAAAGTAGGGTTAATTTACTATATAAATCCCACTAAATGTCAGCTACAAACTGTTGTAACAAAAAGCAGGAATGTATAATGGATATAAATAGCTTTATAGGCTGAATTCATGTTTTTGATGCTGGCCATGGAAGAGGCTCTCTTGAACTGTAAAGAGAGAGAGAGATAGAAACACATGAAGGCTCATCTCAGCTGGCCTGTTCTGAGCTAAAAGCCCTCTGGTCACTACTCACTGATGCTCTCTCGTCGCATAAAAGACAGAAAGTTCAATGAGCACACGAGAGTCATAAGCTCATAAGGTGATAAGGTGCTGAGAGTCCCAAACAGCTTTTCCCCAAACAGCCGCAACTTTGAGCCATAATGGCAGACCATAAAGAAAATCATCATCAATGAAAATGACAGGTTATTAAGATCTGATATTAAGCAATGGGGTTTAATAATGATAGGTTATCTATAAAACCTTTACAACCTGGCTCTGTACGGACAGATTCAATCTCACCCGGCCGCCACCGCTGACACATGTTAATAAGCCCACAACCTTTAATTAAGCAGTATATATAAGTAGGGTCCCATTAAGGGCTGATTTGTGGGCGAGTTCATTACGTCAAGCACCGGGCAGCAGACACATACTCAATGCAAATCAAGGCAGGCAGAATATTATCCTGCTTAATGTGGCCCCAATATTGATATTTTATCACTGTGTCTTGATAAGTGACTTTTAGAATCATCATTTTTCATGGCGTGAAAGCAGCAGTGAGGATCAAACGACCTGCATTCATGTCTTCATTGGACTGCTACTTTAAATTGTTTGCTAGGTGATGAACTACCGTGCATTTATGTGTCATACTCATCTTTAATGTTATTTGACATCATAAAATATCTAGAATTCATTGCACTGTGCTGAATACAAATGTTCAAACCAACCACTATCTAATCCACTATCACTATCTGAAAGAGTTGTTTAAGAGTTTTTATTTATTTATTTATTTATTTATTTATTTATTTATTTATTTATTATTATTATTATAAAT